TTGTATGTAGTTTATTTCTTTAGCATTTATTGTGTTCTGGGTCAGGGATTAATCTGAAAGACAGATGAAAGCTGTGACTTCACATTCCAGAAAAAATAATAATACAATTTTGTATATAATACTTACCCATATTGCTAAAGTGCCTCTGCCCCACGCCATGGTATTTTCAGTTGCTTCATTTGTTCATTTGCATGTGAAAATTGGATAAGGAATAAAGAAAACCATAGAAGACGATGGTTGCATTTGAGTTATGGTGTTGGTGAGAAATATTGAAAGTACTATGGACTGCCAGATGAACAAGCAAAACAACTCTATTGAAAGAAGTATGACTGGTTTGCTCCTTGTTTTTGTTGATAGTACCGTTGCGTCTGTTGCAACTTATAACAATCCTGTATAAGATTTCCAAGAAGCACCTGATGGGTTTGAACTGCCAGCCTTCCAGTTAGCAGTCCAGTGCTTATCCTACAGCACCACACCAGAACTCCAGTTTTCTTCTTAGCAGCGACAGTATAGAAACTTGTCTCTTATACTTCATACATGTTGTTAGGAGGGACCAGTCCCTGGAGAAGAACATTATGCTTGGAAAAGGGGCATGTCAGTGAATAAGAGGAAGAACCCCAACAAGGTGGATTGACAGCGTGGCAGCAACAATTGACTCAAACATAAGGATGGCACAGGGCTGAGCAGTGTATAGTTCTGTTTTGCGTTGGGTCACTATGCAGAACCAACTTGATGACATCTAACATCAACAACATTGCTATAGTTTTGAAATAGAATTATCAAGTGGTGGTGATGGTGTGCTGTGGAGTTAGCTCCGACTTACAGGGACCCTGCATAGGGTTTCATGAGGCTCTCAATCTTGACAGGAACAGAAAGTTTCATGTTTATCCCTTGGAATGGCTGATAGTTTAAAACTGCTGAGGTTACCATTATGCTACCAGGGTGAAGTAGATAATTTAAAAATAATAAGTCATATATCTTCTTTATACTTCTATTTTGTAATCTCTTACTCTTTCATAATCTTTTAAGATAGTCTGCACTTGAGTGTCTTTCTCAGAGAGTAGACAGATCCTTCGGGGGCCCTCAGTTGGCTGCCTACCCATCTAAATCCTAGAATTTGACAGTTTGAATCCTCCAATATAGATACCCTGGAAGAAAAGGCTTGGTGGTCTGCTTTCATTAACAATGTTGTTAAGTGCCTTTGAGTCACTTCTGACTCTTAGCGACCCTGTATAAGATTTCCACGTAGCAGCTGGTGGATTTGAACTGCCGACCTTGTGCTTCAGATTCCAGTGCTGATCTTACACATTACAGATAAGGAAACTTGAAGGAGTAGTTCATCTCTGTCATATGTGGGGTCTTCATGAGTCTGAATTGACGTGACAGCAACAACATCCACGTCAGAAGAATTTCAGAACAAGAGATGAAGGAGTGCTTAAGTTTTACATCTAAAACTAAGTTAAATTATTTTGAATTATTTGTTCATTGTCTTGATAATTGTGTGAAATTATGATACCAGATATTAATACTAGATCACTGGGAAGAACACTGTGAAATTCATAAGTTATCTGTACTAGGTTTTCACAAACTTAAATTGTCTGGAGGCTATTCTTAAAATGCAAATTCTGATCCAGCATGTGGAACTGGGCAGACTGACATTCTGCATTTCTAATAGACTCCTAGATGTTGCTGATCCATGACCCACACTTTGAGTTGTTGGTGTTAAGTACCTTTGAGTTGATTTGGACTCACATTATAGAGGATATACAAAGAGACGCTGGTGGGTTTGAACTGCTGACCTTGTGGTTCATAGTTCAGTGCTGATCCTATAGCACCACACTTTGAGTTGTTGTTAAGTGCCGTCGAGTTGGTTCCGACCCATAGTGACCCTGTGTAGGGTTTCCAAGAAGCATCTGGTCAACTTGAACCAGTGATCTTGGGGATCAAACTGACTTTTCAATCCATTGCATTTGCCCACAGTGCCACACCAGGACTCCACACATCAAGTAGCAAGGACCTGACATTAAATCTGCTTATTATTATGATGATGAGTCCTGGCGTGGCACTGTGAGTTAATGTGCCAGACTACAAAGCTATTTGAACTGTAAGGTTGGCGGTTCAAGCTCACCAGTGGCTCCTTGGAAACTCTATACAGGATCGCCATGGATAGGAATCAACTTGACAGCACGTAACAGCAACAACAACATTGTGGTGCTGCAGGATAATATATAAGATGGCAAGGTTGGTGGTTCAAACCCACCAGCCACTCCTTGGAAACCCTATACAGGGTTGCTGTGAGTCAGAACCGATCCAATGGCACTTAACAACAGTTACTATCATAAGAAAAGGTAGCTCTCAAATTGTCTTGATTGTATTAAAATTTTCATGTTTTTTTCAAATTGAATACAAGAATAAAATAGTCATTCTTATTTTAAAAATAGGATTTCTTGTTATAGAGAAGAGCATATTTTTAAAATTGTGACAGTCATCAGTCACCACCCCTCCCCCTACACACACACAGGAGGGTAATAATGCCCTTTGCAGTATTGTTCTAGGTGATTCAGATTTAGCTCAGCTTCAATTACCTAGTAGTTTCAAGCATGTTTACAAAACTTAATTTTTTCACATACCTGAAATGTTTAGTGTCTTAAAGAATATTTTCTAAAATAGGTAATTCTTCCCTTAAACTAAAACTATTATAGGTGCTTTCTTTTCTTTTAAGTCCGTAGTGTAAGAACCATGTTTTTGGAAGCTACCTTCGTGAGGGGCGTTGAGTTCTATACAAAATGATTAAAAACACTTCTAAGTTCTTGTGTCATCTTTATGATTTTTCCATTTTGTCCCTATCTAGTTGTCTGTATATTTCTCTCAAGTGGCTCACTACCTTTCCAACTGATTGCTTCTAACCTGAAAAGCCAGATAACTAGGGTTGTTAGAAATATGTGAGGGATTTCTCCCAGCCCTGAGGGCCTTCCTAATGTGGGTTTTCCTAAGAGGGAAGCAGCTAGGAAGTTCAGTAGCATTTGAGCAGAAGAGAAATTCTGAGACTTGGGGAGCTGCTTCTTCATGTTCTTTTTAAAAATAGTTTTAGATTTCTTTCTCTAACACTGTGTTTTAGTGCGTATGAAGACAATTTGCCGTTCTAGATATGTATGTGTATAGTAGCCCTGAGAGTAAGAATAAAATAATTGTAATAAATAGCAGCACTTCAGGATCCATCTAAACTGGGGATGGACAACCTTATGCCACAGATGGTTCTCTTATGGTTCATCTTCCAGTGGCTTTGCAGATAGCTTAAGGAAAACTTAACAATGACAATAAAGAAGGTAGGCCTTGGTTCAATTTAGTGACATAAGTTGATTTCTGGCATGTTATCCTAAGTATATTATTCCTTATAGTAATCACAATAGCAGCTCCTGTTTATAGTAATCACAATAGAGCCCTCACTGTCAGGCGCTCATTAACCAGATGTGTGTTGTGCAACAAACAGGGTTGTGGTCATGGGGGTGAATTAGATTGGAGGGGAGCAAATGGCTGCTGTGCATTGAACAAATGAGAGTAATCCCAATAGAGAAGGGGCAGATTACATCTCTTCTTTAGTCCCTCTTTACAAATAAATATGTGGGGAGCGAATCACAGGTGGTTTTGTTTTTTCTTACTCACCAAACTTAGAAATACACTGTTGGAGGATTCACATCTATGAGAACATATAGTACTTTATATTCTTCTGATTCAAAACAAAGAAGAACCTGTTTACATTTTAACCAGGCAGCATCAGAACATGTATCACTTTGAATAGGTTTACATTATAAATTGTAGATTATAGTCTTTAAATTTACAATTGAGCTAAATGCAACCGTAACACTTAAGGTGGATTTGGAAATCTTGAACAGCACCGTCTGACTTATTTGTCGTGAATTAAACCTTCTAACACTGATTACCAGTTTTTTCTCATTTGAGTCTTATTCTTACATCTACAATTTATCTTCTGTTTCAGTGCAGCTCAGCATACTGTTATAAATGCTAGTCTAATTAGCAGTATTTTGCGATTTGGGACTCCTGTCAAAGATCATTATAGGACTAGAAAACATTGGGAGGTGAGCTGAAAGCATGACCTCATATCTCCCATTTTGCACTAGAATATAACGTGCATTCAAAGAGATTAGGAAAAAAGAAAAGAAAAATAACACCCCCCTTTTAATCTGTAATAAATGTGTTTAGTCTGGTTTTGCTTAATAAATCCCTTTTAGCCTTTAGACTGGAGTATTCGGTCGAAACATTTGGAACTAAATGCTGCCGTTGAAAAAATTTTACTGGGAATACAGAATAGCTACCTTTTGTTAATTGATCCTGCCTTTTTCACTGGAGAAATAAAAATGTATGGTTACTGAAGAGAAATCTGTGTGCATGAACTCTTCCTGTTCTTAAATATGTTTCATATGTTGTTTATCTTATTTAAATATACAGTAGGCAAGAGTGTAACTGCTGTTCCTTTAATATCAGAACTATGCACGTTACAATAGGTGTCACTGTTTTGCTTGGTCCAATCATGATCAGTGATTTCAGCGATTGGCTCAGAGCACTGGCTGTCTGACTCCATCTGCAGGGCTGTAACACCTACTCTCCTCCGATCCATTCACCACACAACTTCAGCCGGCTGAGCAGACTCGCGCGGCTCCAGCAACATCTTGCTAACCTAATTCAAAAAACAAGTGCTGCGGTTCTGTGCCTGTCATTTTTGCTCAGTGTAGCATTTCCAGGTGATCTAGAAAACTGGGTGATTTTTATGAACAAATAAGACAAACAGGAATCATGATGGGGATGTATTTAACAGATCAAGTACTAGATAAAACTTAAAGCCAGTTTTTTTTGTTTTTTTTTTTTCCAACATAGTGAAAAGGTCACCTTGCCTGGCTGAGAAAAGAAGCAAAACATCAGCTTGTTGGTTTCTGTTAATATCTTAACTCATGCTCGCCTCTTTTCCTTAATGTTTGCACCAATTTGGGATATCTAGCTATAGAGAGCAACATACTGTACTCATGGTAGATGACAAGGAAAAGAACATGAAATGTCTTACCTTCTTCTTGATGCTTCCAGAGACGGTAAAGAACAGGTCCAAGAAAAGCTCAAAGAAAGCAAATACTACAACTGGCGGCAGCAGCAGCAGCAAGTTACCCCCAGTTTGCTATGAAATTATTACCTTAAAGACTAAGAAGAAGAAGAAGATGGCTGCTGATATATTCCCCCGTAAAAAATCAGCCAGCTCCAGCACCACCACTGTCCAGCAGTACCACCAGCAGAACCTCAGCAACAACAACCTTATTCCAGCCCCAAACTGGCAGGGTCTGTATCCTACCATTAGAGAAAGGTAAGTGGCTGGCCAGCATATTCACTTTAAAAGTTTTCCTGTGTTGAAGTTTCTGCTTTTGCACAACTTGTAATGTATTTTTAATACAAATCTGTGTTTCCTCTTTTCCCAGAGCTTTATTGGTAATGGAAAACTGCCTTGTATCTTTTCCAAGACAGTACAGCTGTTTTCCTCTTAGATAAAAATGCTTTTGCAATCTGTAACATTTAACTGACAGGATTGTGTCTGGCCCATGGAAGGTAGAAATCTCTTCTTTGCCCTTGTGAAAAGTTTAGAAAACTTTCGTTTCTTTTTCCTTCTTCGTCTTCTTTTTTTAAAAACTTTAACTTCTTCTGTTTGCTTGCAGTGATTACAGACGCAGTTGTTTAGTTAGAACCTTTTCTTGTTTTGCCCTGAAGTCATTAAACTGTTGCTTAGTTTTCAGATCTGTTGTGGGTTTTCTCTGTGGGAGAGGGGGCATGTAAAATGCTGACTGCTGTGAATTAATGAATTGCCTCTGTTTATAGAAATGCGGTGATGTTCAATAATGATTTGATGGCAGATGTACATTTTGTGGTTGGGCCACCAGGTGGGACTCAGCGGTTGCCAGGACACAAAGTAAGCAACAGCTGCATTACTGCTTCAGACTTAAGGCTTACAAAGAGAGACCCTTTTTGTGAGCCTGGAACTTGGGGTGAGCAGCTTGCTGATGGCAGGCAGTGCGTGTGTCGCCCGGTCACAGAAAGCCAAGCCTATTCAGAGGGTTTTGGCCACGCTCAATTTTTTTTCTTTGTCTCCTTCTACCCTGCTTTATTTCCTACACAAAACCATGCCCTCTTCACTCTGCAGTCATAGGATAAGATCTCTGGAAGTTGTGATAGGCTAGCAAAGTCATCTATCTGTTTACCCTTTTGTAAGAGATCAGTCAGGTAAGCTGTTGTTGGTTTTTTTTTTTTAATTTTTATAACGAGGGCAGTTGTACGTTAATCCTTTAAAGCCATGAAATATTTAGCAGCCTAGAGACTGCTTGAATATCTTAGGCTTCCACAGTGAGATATGCCGAATCTTAGCTTTTTCAAAAGAGCAGGTTTAGTATTGCATAGAGTTGTTTTTCTGGATTGATTTGCTGAAAATGCATTCAATTTAGTGCATGAAATAAGATTTCCTTCTCTTCACAGTATGTTTTAGCTGTTGGGAGCTCTGTGTTCCATGCAATGTTTTACGGAGAACTTGCTGAGGACAAAGATGAAATCCGTATACCAGATGTCGAACCTGCTGCTTTTCTCGCTATGCTGAAGTAAGCATCACTCATATGTTTGGAAAGAGTTTGTTTATGCTGTATTTGTACTCTGTGGGACTCACAGCTAAATAGGAGTTCTGTGTAACAGAAATGGCAAACACTGATGAAGAAAGAGGGTGCTGCTTACCTTATAAATGTTTTTGGAGAAAATTACTGTGCATCTTTCAGTGAAAGCATATGGAATGATGCAGGCTTGTATAATCACACCTTGGCATGGGATTTGGGGACAAGTGGCATGAATAGTGATTTGATTTTTAATGACATAATTAAAGATAACTTTCTGATATAAACATTGTTTAATTAAACTAAACATTGTTTAATCATGTTCTCTCTGAAAGCGTTGTGAAAAAGTCCTTAAATAATTGTATTTTTTGCTTCACAATACTATGAATTATATGCCTTATTTAAATAGCACCAGTTAGGATATTTCTCAGTTTTATAAGGGCTCTTGTCAACAAATGCAAAACTTACCTACTGACATAATCTGATACTTGTACACACATATGCATACTCTTCTCTTTTTTTTCTTCAATATGCGCACTCTTAAATGGAATCAGATATTCCTTCTCAAGGATAAGAAGCATTTACATTTGATAGTACAGGATAAATTTTTGAGAGATAGGAATAGTTTTCTTGTTTATATGGATTTCTGTAGAATAACTTTAATTGTATATACAAAATGCAAAGTTGTAAGATATGTTAAGCATTTATTTTAAAAATAATATTATATACCTTTTTCAGAATCTAATAAATGTTACCTAGCTGAATAGGATTGGCTGTTTTACCAAGTACTGGTGCTGTGTGTAATATGATAATCTACAATATGATTAACCCAATGATTATTCTAAGTGTGTTCAACGGTTTTTCTTAATCCTTAATTCTACTACATCAGCGTATATCAGAGTTCAAGGTTATATGCTGTTGTAGGGATTGCAGTTTGCTACCTCAATGCAGTGCTTATTGATAAAAACATATTCAAGGGTCAACAAACTGGGCAGTAATCCTACAAAGAGTTAAATGTTGATATGTGTTGTCAGCTGCCTACGCAAAAAAGAAAAAGCATTATAATTAGTTTTAGAATGTTAGTGTTTGCAATTTTTTATTTATATTACAGTTCTGAAGTCTAATTGCTTCTGACTGGAGCTTTCACAGTGGAGCCCTGGTAGCGTAATGCAATGGTTATCTGCTCCACTGCTAACCCAAAGGTCACGTTGTGACCCTACCCGTGGGACATAGAGAAATTACAGACAAGTGAGCATAGAACGTATCCAAATATAACCTAAAGCACACTTTTAATCCAACCAACACTTTGTAATCGTGTAGAAATGTATGTACTCAAGACCATTTTACATGTGAGTGCTTTGGTTTTTTTCCATTGGAGCCACAGCTTTGTATTTAACAGTGTTGTCTGTTGTTAAGGAGAATACTTGCCCTTGTGTAGCATTTTGGCTTTACTGCAGTCAAGTCAAGTGTTATATTGTTCCAGATATATTCATAATTAGGAAGTGGGAGCAAGAGTTATGAAGAATTCTATTTCATCTAGGTCCCTGGGGGTCATCATTTAATAAAAGTATCTTGTCTCACCAATGTATTGTCTAGAATATAGATTGTTGCAACTTTTTAAAAATTTTGCATTCAGTTCATGTAAAGTAGTAAAACTCAGAAAGGTCAGTACTGTGCTGTCATCTGGAGTAGCGGTGGCTAGATTGTCGTCACTGCAGCATTGTCCAGGAGTAGTCAGTATTCCCAGAAAGAAGGTATTGAGAAAAAGGGAGGGTTGCTCACTTGATGGAATCCTAGTGTGGCGCTGCAGTGCAGATAATGCACTGAGCCGCAAGGTCAGTTTGAACCTAAAAGTCAGAGGATCAAACCTACCGGCCACGCCTCAGAAACCCTATACAGGACCACTGTGAGTGGGAACCGGCTTGATAGCACACAACCACAGCAGTCTTACTTGATGGCTAGAGTGAGAACTCCAACGTGTTGGCAGTGTTCCATAGCCCTCCCCGTGTGTGCTGACCGTGCTGACACTTGTGTCAGCATCACAAAGCTTCAGGAACCTTGTCTAGTAGCCCAGCCAGTGGGAGCTGCCTCAGCCTGTAGGAGATGAGAAAGGGTTTCCTGGCAGCAAACATGCAGGTTCCGGTTGTAATTGCGGAACATTTCTCATTGCTTTCCTATGTAGTGTTGTCCTTTCATACAGAAGGCATTGCTGACTTGTTAAGTTGTATGTGTGTCACTAAAGTGAAATATAATAGCAAGAGAAGAGTTTCAGAGCAAATTTCTGTCTATACTTTAGCTAGAAAAATGAAGTGTCACCTAGGATTTTGTCTTTCTTCATACATAGTTTTTACTGCCTCTTATGTCAGTCATAGAAATCTAATGGGAGCAGGTGATTTGTAATTTCATATAACATTTTGGGAGTTAGCCACAGCCCCCCAAATCAGAGAAGTGTTCCTTCTCTGCAAATAGGGACAGTTCACAGCAGCATAGAAAATAGTGCATAATTAAGGTTTTGTGTCTTAATTAAATAATCTGGAAATTAAGTCTTCTCTAACTCTTAAAGCATAAGGAATGTATTGAGAAAGGTAAACTTAAAAAAAAATTAAAAAGCCAGATACAAAGTTTCTTTTGAATTCTTTCAAAAGTTAATTAGGATTCATATTTGGGAATTCATTGAACTTGAAACCGCTTGAAAAATGCAGTCTTTACTATCAGGCCTTGCTAATATGCTTAGGAAAAAACCAAGTTGCACTTAGTTAAAAGCATCAAGGCATTTATTTCTATCTGAATGTGCAGAAAGATTATAAAATAAACTATGAGTATTGCTACTAGGCCATAGGGGGACTATTCTTTCATGAAATATAGGTTACAGAATTTTGCTGTTTTTTCCTAATTTCCTACTCTTGTTGAGAACATACCAAATGCAGTTTATAAAATGGAGTCAAGAATAGTAACAAAAAAGCTACTCTTTAATTGTACAATCTTATGACTGAGTGTAAATATTAATAATTTATTAATATCTTTTAGATGTTTCCTTCATTTCTCGGCATTTTTCATAATAACTGTCACATAAGATCATTTTCTTGGAGCGAACTTGAAAGTAGTTTCATCTTTCGTGCTGTATGCTCTCGTTTTATGAGAGTTCCACTTACATGCTGTGCGCTTCCTTTCAGGTATATCTATTGTGATGAAATTGACTTGGCTGCTGACACAGTGCTGGCCACTCTCTATGCTGCCAAAAAGTACATTGTCCCTCACCTAGCCAGAGCCTGCGTTAATTTCCTGGAAACTAGCCTGAGTGCCAAGAACGCCTGCGTGCTTCTCTCTCAGAGCTGCTTGTTCGAGGAGCCGGACCTGACCCAGCGTTGCTGGGAGGTGATCGACGCCCAGGCAGAATTAGCTCTAAAGTCTGAGGGTTTCTGCGATATTGACTTCCAGACACTAGAAAGTATCCTCCGCAGGGAAACTCTCAATGCCAAAGAAATTGTGGTTTTTGAGGCAGCTCTCAACTGGGCTGAAGTAGAATGCCAGCGACAAGATCTAGCCTCAAGCATCGAAAACAAACGTAAGGTCCTTGGAAAGGCACTTTACTTGATCCGAATACCTACCATGGCCCTTGATGATTTTGCAAATGGTGCTGCACAGTCTGGAGTTTTGACTCTCAATGAGACCAATGACATCTTCCTCTGGTACACCGCTGCCAAAAAACCGGAGTTGCAGTTTGTGAGTAAAGCCCGTAAGGGGCTTGTCCCCCAGCGTTGTCACCGCTTCCAATCTTGTGCCTATCGGAGCAACCAGTGGCGCTATCGGGGACGTTGCGACAGCATCCAGTTTGCAGTCGATAAAAGAGTGTTCATCGCTGGCTTTGGTCTGTATGGCTCCAGCTGTGGCTCTGCAGAATACAGTGCCAAGATTGAACTCAAGCGGCAGGGTGTTGTCCTGGGGCAGAACTTGAGCAAGTACTTCTCAGATGGCTCCAGCAATACCTTTCCCGTGTGGTTTGAGTACCCGGTGCAGATTGAGCCAGACACTTTTTACACAGCCAGCGTGATTCTTGATGGCAACGAACTCAGCTACTTTGGACAGGAAGGCATGACGGAGGTTCAGTGTGGCAAAGTGACCGTGCAGTTCCAGTGCTCCTCAGATAGCACTAATGGCACTGGGGTCCAGGGAGGACAGATCCCTGAACTTATATTCTATGCTTGAAATCTCATTTCCCCAAGCCGTGTCAACTGTTGTGAGGTGCACATCTGGTTCCAGCTTGCTGATGCTTAGCTCATCTGCAGATCAGTGCAGGTGATGTGCTATGAATGAAGCTGTAGGCAGTTTCTAATTTCTTTTAACTTTCTCATTGTGTACAGGCAGAAATGCAGCATTCAGCTTTTAACTATATGCTTCAAAGAACCAAACTCTTATTTTTAGAGTGTGTCTATACCCCTAGAGAGACTTTGTGCTCTTCCAACTAGACTCCTGACCTCCCAGTTTTGTCCTTTTTAAGAAATGTTTGGAATCACCTCAATTTACCTTTTGGGCTTTGTTTTGATGGGTAAAAAAAAAAAAAAAAAAGTCTACAATAACAATGACAAGAGTTACTCTGAACATGACTCTTCTTCTCCCCAAAAGAGGTAAACTAAAGTGTACAATTTTGAAAAGTTATACTTCATAATTAGAAAATTCAACAGTAGCCATGTTTAGCTTTTATTTCAGTCCTTTAAAATTCTTTGCTTCTAGACTTTGCCTTTTTTTTTTAATCCTAAATATATGTTATATATTAAACACTACAACGCATCAGTATAAAATAGAAAAAAAATAAACACTACAAAGTGTCATTGTAAAATAGAAAAAGGAAAATCAGAAATAGAGTGTTTCTTTAGGCCATGACTTCTGCTACAAGCAGTTTTATATTCTCTTAGCTTAGAAGACAAAATATTGAAGTACAATTACTTCAATAAAATTTCATTGTCAATCGAAAAAAGTTACAAATGTATTAATTGAAACAGTTTAGAAAAGAAGCCTAACAAAGGTCCATATATGCAAATATTTAAATTAATGGCACATTAGAATGTACACTTTGGAAAAGTCCAATTATTTTCCCCACTTAGTTTCCAGTGTCCACTATTAGCTCTTTCTCTTTCAGTGTAAAATTCCTGTTCTCCCCATTAAAAGAGGACCAAACAATTCTTTACACAAAGAGAATAGCAATTCGTTTTGTAGCATTACGTGTTCATATAAGAAGACACTTTTGTTCGTTGATTGTGTGTGTGTGTGTGTTTTCAGTCTGAAATATATTTTACCTGATCTACTTTGACTACCTACTGTCTTCCTAGTTAATTAGAATTCTTCCTGCGCCTGAACTGCTAGAATCTGGTCTTTGGCCATCTTAAAGTGCCGATATTTTTCTGTAGGGTTTCAAAAAATGGTCTGGAGCGACACCCTAGCTTATACATAATATTCCATGTATTCCCATCACATCCCACTCTCTTATCTGTCCTTGAGTAATGTAAACAAAAGAGGGAAATGCTCTTCAAAACTTTTCTCCTTCGCTGATGGCTTGTGATGGTTCTGTGCCGTATCCCTGGCAGTGTCCAGTGTGTTCTCTGCCAGTTGAAGTATCCATGTGTTTCTGGGCAGCTTTTCTGCTCAGTGTGATCCTGAGAGCGCTTGCCCCACCACCCAGAGTGTGGCCTCTGGCCGCCTCCTTCTCCTGCCCTACAAGCCTGAAGCTGGCTTGTCTGGAGCCAGGGGTTAGTCCCGGGGTGTGTGTGTGTGTATGTGCGCATGCATGTGCACACAAGTGCGTTTGCAGACTCAGGAATTGTCTCCTCTTAGTGAGAAGTAGGACAGAAATGGTCCCCTGCTGGCCCCCACAAGTGACTGCCAGTCACTGTCCTTCTGGACCACTTCTTCCCCTGTAGACGTGGGCCTTCCGCCAGCTTCCCTGATGGAGGAGAACACTGGATTATGGGAAATTCTCTAATCACCTTTGCCATTATCTAGGTCTGTTAGCATAGATGATCAAAAGCTGTTACTGGTAATTATAGATGAATACGCCCAGAATAACTGTCCAAAATGACCGAACAATTTTTTCCTATATGGCAGATTACAGATAGTAGTTTTGGCAAAGCATGGGTGAAATAAAGGTCTATTTTCAACTTCTAAAAAATATTTCTACAGGAGATTTTGTTTTTGAAATTATGGTTAAACATTTCAGTGATGTATGGCTACCATGCTGATTGGCAGACTGTGTATCTGATTAGAAGGCACTCGTTTTTAAGCCAGTGGAGAGGATATATTATTTAGCATCAATTTCATCGTGTCACATTCTTAAAGGGGATGTGATAACCTTAGCTTGAAGATGTTCATCCTATACCAAACCCTCTGGACATTGCTCCTGTTAGCTAGCCTGCCCTCCATATGTGGTAAGGGAGCTAGTTGATGAAGTCAGAATGAGATCCTGTACTCTTAGCTGGGCCAAGAACTTCATGTTGTTCATGCTATTTACCATTACTTAGAAACAAAAGAAGGGAGCACAGCCAGTTTCTGACTGGCTGGTGCCCAAAAACTGTGGATTAAATTTGAAAAATTGTATTTAAATAAGAAATTTTATATTTTAAACCCTATTCTCGCTTCTGTATTTTCAACAAAATGGAATGAAGCCTGATATGCTTGCTTTATTTTCTTTAGTACTCTCTGACTTTGTAGCTTTTAAAACTAGAAACTATTGTTCTGACAAGGCAGGCAACTCTAGGCTATAAACACAACTTTATTAAACAGAATATGCCGCAGATTCTTTTCTCAATGTATCTGGCAGTCTTTGTCATTGTTAATTCTGGGGATAAAGGGAAACTAGGTTAGCAATTCTATTGTAACATTCTTTGAGCATATCTTATAATAGTATTTAAGTAAATGGTCTAATTTCTATATAATTGCACTGAACTGTCTTTTTGGTTTTTTTGTTTTGTTTTGTTTTTTAAGGTGTTTATATAAGCTCAGCTAATTTCAGGACACTGTAGCCACTTGTGCATCAGGGTGCTTGAATTTAGTAGCTTACAACATTATTTATGAAGGAAAAAAATATAAATATGAAGTACCTCATGTTGAATGTTATTGTACTGTATTTTTAATGTAACAGTGCAAATCTTGTTAGACACATGAATGTGTATAATCATGTTAAATACAAATAAAAAATAAAACGGCTTCATAGATTTGTTTTTCTTAGCATTTTTATAGCTCCTTTGAAATAGTGATAAATTAATTCTTACACTTCTGGTACCACTACATTTTATATAGATGGTTTCACAGGAGCATTTGTTTGCTAAGTATTCAGATACCTTTGAACCCTAAAGAAGTAAAAATTTGAGGCAAAAGCATAAGAGAACAATGAATATGTTAATCATTGCATTGCTCAAAGCCTGACTGTTAAGTTAATGAGAGAGAGAGAGAGAGAGAGAGTATATGGATGCATTTATATTCCTGTATTGGAGTACTGATGTGGCGCTGTGGGTTAATGCGCCAGACTGCAAAACCATTTGAACTGCAAGGTCAGCGGTTCAAGCTCACCAGTTGCTCTTTGGAAACCCTGGATTAGGTCGCTATGGGTCAGATCCGACTCGACGGCACTTAACAACAACAACAACAACAACATATTCCTGTGTTGGAATTCTTGGTTTGCTGATGTTCTGATGCAATAGCAGCTCCAAGTCTCTGGATCTTGTTATCCTAAGGGGTGTTAATACTGAGTGACCAGTGCTGCTCGTTCCTGCTATGCTATAATAGCTTTAATCTAGGAATTAATTAAAGTGAGAATTTTGAATATAATTTTTATGTGCTCAACTTGTTGTATATTTCTCCATCTCAAGTAGGGATGTCTCACTTACTCATAATTATACACTCATGCACATAGCTACATCTGGTCTCTGCAGCTTTCTGTTACTTTTCTACTGGAGTTTATTGTGAAACTCCTGTACAGACAGTCCCCAGATTACAATTACCAACAAGTTCTATTCCTAAATCTGTTTTTACATCAAATCTCTAGGTACAGTTCATATTTATAACATAGTTTGTTCGTTTGTCTTAGGTATGTAATTCACTCAGATACACTTAACTAGTAACATTAACAAAACATTTTTTAAAATTATGAGAGTTTTTAATATAATTTTTATATAATAACAATGCTTTGATGTATTAGTTATTATGAACCATTGTATGTATGTCAGATTTTTAATATAATAGGGTTTATGTGGGTTGGTTTGCTTTGTATGTAAGTTGATTGTTTGTCACCTGGGGGCTATTTGTATATTTGCTTTTACCCAATTCATCTACTTGGGTTAAGTTTCTACAGCATACTTGCTCAAAGGATTTATGGAATTTTGCCAAAGAATGTAAGAAATGCTCATCAGATTCACAGACACAACCTAAAATTGTAAAATACTCTTTTACTATCATCTCTTTTCTGTTACTATTAAAACTGAATTCATATGTTTTTTTCAGTATATAAAGACAATTGTGAATGATCTGCCTCCATTGTTGGGGATCATAGGTGAACATGTAACTGAAATGACACTTCTTTCTCAGTTGACTATGGGGCTTGCCTGTGACTACCATAGGCTTAGACTTGAGAGAAAACAGGAAGGTGGAAAGCATTGCTAAGGAATTAAACAGTATAAAATTTAGAGGCTGAAATTAACAAGTGGCTCTGAAAACCTGAGGTTATTCTAAGTGTTTATCAGAGCCTGGTATGAGCGCCTTTGAGATGCTTCAATAGAGGACCTCTTACTCTTGGAATTTCTCATTCAGATTAGCATTGCTTTCAAAGCCATTTTCATTTGTTTACCTGCGACTCTTTGCTCAGCACTTCGTGTTCTATTTTTCAGAATATATGTTCTAGCAAAACTAATACTGAGAATATTTTTCAAATATAGTTTCCCTACTTATTTTTATAATTTTTATAACTAACATTCATATCCATGACAAGAGGTTCTCAATCAAGAAGTTGCCAAGCAGTTGAACTAAATGTGTTTGTGAGGAAGAAATGAAGTGGTTAACCCAGTCACATTCCCAACAAACTAATGAATATACTTGCTTCTATAGATGAGTCTTTGAAGAATGTTTGAGAATAACTTGGACATCTCTCTGCTGCCTCTACTGAATATTTTTGTGGGGCCAGGGACTATAATTCCTTTTTATCCAGACCCTAGTTATTTTTGTTTTCCATTTACTTGATTATTTAAATGTCCAGTGGACAGCAGTTTTACTAACAGGCTTTACCTTTATCTGCTCTGCCTCTATAAAAAGCCTTTAGTCTCAAGATAACCAGTAAAAACAATAACAAAAACTCACTCTTTGTCAAATACGTGCTGTTTAGTCAGTTCTGATTCAGTGACCCTGTATCAGGGTTTTCAAAGAGTGGCTGGTGGGTTTGAAGCATGGACTTTGCATTTAGTAGTCCAGTGCTT